GAGGCAGGAGGCGTTTATTTTAATATCGCTCTTAAGCGGAGAGCAGCTGTAAACAAATGCGAAATGACAACACATTAAAGAACGAGGAGGGGAAAAAAGAGAGCTAATAGACCTTAAAGAACAAGGAAGAAAAAAAGAATGCCAGTAGCTTCAACCTTCACTTCTTTCTGAAACAGTGAGTATTAGAAGCTTTATAACAGTGCTTGTCTAAAACATCTAATGACAGATAATTTGTTCAAGAGAAACTAAAATATTTCTGATGATGTGTTTTGCTGTTTCTGTTTCTTCTGCAGGCTAATTATGTTTTTTGCTTGGAATAGGTAAGCTGATGTAACTCTGTTGTCTTTGCAGTGACTTGAAGTGGCTCGGACTTGCTTAAACTGTAAGATGTGGAGTGGACTGTTGCCTCCAGGACTGAATGAAAGTGATGTTGAGTCAAGTTCTGATGAAGGAGATGAATCACATGGTTCCTTTCCAAAGGAAGATGCCAAAGAAGATACTGAAAGAGATCAGCTTTCGGAATTCCAGGAGAATGCCCCTGAAAATAACACCATCGGTGAACCTGTTGTGATATCAGCGACACATGGAGAAAATGAATCTCAAACATGCCCTTCTGGAGTGCCTTTACATTTGTGGAATGTGGGTATTGTTACAAGTCTCCAGATACCCAGAGCATAGATGCAACATACTCAAAGTTGAATAGCTAATTTTTAAATTAAAATAACTCAATGTTGAATATTCAGTATACAAATCTGAAATGACTTAAAATACGGTCAAAGTGCAGTCACTGTAATGTATTTTAGATGATTTCAAGCAGGGTGAACAGGAATTTAGATAGGAAGTGAGTGTGACTTTTTTTTTCCCTAGTGCAGTGGTGATTGAAAGCACAGCAGGGAGTTGTTCAGATGACTGCACAGTCACATAGAGACTTGTGGTTTTGATAGTGTCTGAGCTTCTTCGTAACTGCTTTCTGCATTAGTAAGGATTTACAGGGAAGTATGTCAGGATGTGTATCTGCAAAGTAGAGGTGTGCCCTTCTGCTTTCTGTGGGGTTAGTTGGAGGCATTCAGACTCCTAGTTGCTTATAATCTCTTGATTTTCCTGTTGCATGGAAAGGCTGAAAAATAAATATAAACAAAGCAATCTGTGTTGTAGTCTTTAGAGTCCACCCATCGATCCGTGTAGCCTGCAGTGCAAGGGCTGTGCTGTCAGTAATACTTGGATTACAAACTACCAGCCAGGCAGTAACAATGCACTGAATAGCTCAGCAGTGCACAACCAGCAGATGTGTATTTAGTGTCCCATCCCATGGGAAAACTTTCAGGTGTGAATAGTCCTGGGATTTGGGGGGAGCTGAAAGTCAGAGGTGTGTTGAAAAATTGAAACCAGTTCCAGTTTAACACCATCAGAGCTGGATGTTCTCAATGCATAAATTTTAGTGTAATGGATATAACAAGGTACTGTGGATAAATGAGATATTGGGACAACATTATGTAATTATTTATTTTTTTAATTAGAAAAAACCCTAAAAATACTGATTTTATTTTTCTTAATCTTGTAGAAATTTGTGGAGCTTCAGAAGAAAAACTGTGAAATGAAAATGCAAGAAATTCAGGGAATCAAAAGCCGAAAAAGAAAGCGCCGCCGAAAAGGTGTTTTATATGTTTACAGAATTAGTATGAAATACATTAGAAGTGGGCTTTGGTGGTTTTGGGGAGGGGGGTTGGTTTTAAGGTTTTTTTTGTTTTATTTCACCAAGAATTGCATGCCTGGGTAGATGTTTTCTAGCTATTATCTAGGATTTTATTTTTCCAGTTGTATACCTCACTTGTAGGACTTGGTTGTAATTTGTTCAAGTAATAAATTTGTTCTCCTTTTTAAAAAGGAGGTAGAGCTTACTGGGTTAATACTGATTTATAATGGCTATGTGTAGGTCAGTCAGTCATTCAATAAAATATACTTTTGTGTATTCTGGTTAAAACTTTTTCATAGATACTGTAGGAGATTATTTGTATGAAAAGTCTTACAGCTGAGGGGTTTAAATCCACTTGATCATTGGGTAAAAATCCGGGTGTGTCAATCTGTCAGAGGAAATGTGACCAATTAGAGTTCTGTTAACTTCATTGGGTGCTGTGGGGTATTACTGTGTAATCTTGTGCTTTGTTTTTTTGTTTGTTTGTTTTTTCTCCCTAGAAAAACAGCAAAAGAATGATGAAGTGACTAAGAGGTATAACCGGGTCAATGTGATTTTCTGAGGTCTGTTTTCAGTATGGGGCAAAACTTGTAATAAGTTTGACCATGTGCATGGCCAAAGCCTAGCTTTGAACATCATGTAAAATATCTGCTGAAGTTGTTCAGTGTCTCTGTCGGGCAGACTGAATTTGTTACCAGTGATTGTTTGATGCAGTTCATTGTTATTAACACAAATGTGTTATTTAATGTAACTTAAAATTGACTTAATGTTATTCCTAGTGATGTTTTGCATGTCACTGCTCCTGTTCAACCCACTCTTCTTCCTCTTCTTTTTCCTCCTTGGCAGTGTTAGCTTAATGGTTGGACTTGAAGATATTAAAGGTCTTTCCCAACCTACATGATTCTATAAGCTTGCTTTCAAGATTGTGGAATTACACTTACAAAGGGGAAGGAATAATTAATTTCATTTTCATTAAAAACTGTGAATGGTTGAGAAGAGCATGTCTGCCAAATGGAAGAATTCCTTTTAGCATTGAAAAGAACATTAAAAGTTGTGGAAAGGGAACTGGCTGTATTAATGACTTTTGTTTTGTTGTTGGTTTTTAGTAGTCAACAGTTGGCAAATGAAGACAAATGGAAAGAACTTACACAATACTTTGGAATCAATGACAGATTTGAATCCCCTGTGCATAGCAAGGCTCCACAAAAGGTGACTGTTGGTACAAAGCAATGGCAGCTTATACTTGGCAGTAAAAGAACTCAGCCTTAGCTGAGATAGGAATAAAACTGAGACTTTTTGAAAGTGAGTAAATGATCAATTCACTCTGAGGAAGGATAATTTTGTGCACATTTTTAATTAATTTCCTTTTACATATCCCATGAATTGCACTTGGATTAAAAGTTTGCTTTCGTTTGTGAAAATACTTTCTTTTGAGACAATCTTCACGCTTATTTCCTGTCTGGTTTTGTTTTCTATTACCATGAGAGACAGAAGACTTCATATGCATTGTTTGACTTTTTTTTTTTCCTTTTGTTTTTTTCAGTCATGCTTTAACTTTAAAATGGATCAAGTAAATCCTTTAGTTGACACCAGTGGCTCTAGGAATTAGAGGGCCAAACCTGCTATACAGTTTTACTGGATTTATAACACATTTTGTTAATAAATATTATTGTGTAACTAGTCATGTTTGAAATAACTGGCACAACATAATGGACAAGTTGAGAAACTCGTTATCTTGTGAGTTTCTCACAGCACTTTTTGTTCTGTAGTTTTTCTAGTAAAGGCCTGATAAGTTCTGTGATATCAAATATTCAGTTAGCCTCTTTTATGATAAATTTTGTATTTTTCATTTGCCTAAAATAAGTTTCTGCATGAAGGTCATGAGGAACTGTTTGCTTCTGTCCAAGTTCTTATTTTTGGTGGGTATTTAGTTGTTACTAAACTGCTCAGGACAGATCTAGAATGAGGCCCAGGGTGTTAAAATGCACATGCTCTCCACCTAAGTTCAAAGATTTTATTGTTAGTGGAATGTATGTCTCATTAATTTTAGAAAGGACAGCTAACAGAGTTGACTGTCACTGCAACTTCCACTTGTGCACTTTTTTCCAACTTCCACCTGAATAATTCAAGTGGAGTATTTGCAGATCACTGTTTCTCAATAATTGTTTGCTTTTTTGCTTTCTTTTTTTAAAAGTATATGCTAATGAAACTGTCATATGTGTTTTCTTTAGCATCACTAATATTTACAACCAGTGAGGCTGTAAATTGTGTTAGCATGAGTGAGTTTTTTTGTGAGGTTTTGAAGTCAGTGCCTACTGCTCTGCTACCTTTCTATATTCCTTCAGAAGTTTCCAACTATAATTTCCACTAAATATTTACTTTTCATTGTTACATTATTTGTAAAGGTTGTCGCTAAACAAATGGTTATTTTCTCATTTTCAGAGGTTAAATTCTGAAGCTTTTTTCATTGTTTTCCATAGGTCTGCTAGAATTTTTAATTTATTAGCACAGTGAAGTGGCACTGTGCCAGAACTCAGTTTTTGGATAAAGATAAGATCTTAGAACTGTAACGATACAGTGGTAATTGCTATTCTTCATGTTACCTGACAAATATATTTCACATTTTGTTTAGAAAGCTCCAGGGATGGAAGAGATAAGCCAGATCTTCAGATGAAATTTTATTGTGACAGGCATAAACTAGTCCGTGTAATTTTTTTAACCTACAGTATTATCCTGCACGTATGGTGGAACTAATGCAATGATTTGTGCTCAGGCAGCCTTTCAGTGAATTCTTAATTATACTGTCCATTACAATCCATAGACAAAGTGATTTGTGTTACACAGAAATTACAGGTTTATGCAGTGTCTTAAAATGAAGAATTTTATGAAATAAATATTTTTAGAAACGAGAATGCTCTCTTTAAACATGTTATTTATTTGTTCTAAAGATATATACTTTTCTCTTTCTAGTCTGGCCTTGAACTTAGCATAGAGAAGTCTGTGGCTGAAGGTGATGTTGATAAGGCTGAGGAGCTGAGTGATAGATTAGCCATTCGTGAGGTAAGTGGGCTGTTAACAAAAGCTCTGAGGAAACATTTAGTTTTGTCCATCTGCACGAAAAGTGTCATAACTAAAACAGCACTGAAGATTGTTCAGGGCACCTTTCCTATTTCCAGAGCAGGTTTCTGTCAGTGATCAGAGGATTTTGCTGCTGATCTAGTAATGCTTGAACAGTTGCAGCTGTATATAAGAATTGAAAATACAACAATGAACGATCCCAAGTAACCTTGCTTTAAAGCCTCATGCCAACTCCATGAGTCAGAGGAGTCAGTAACTAGTCATCTCTATTAAACTTGTGATTTTTCTGCGTGTCACAAGCCAAGAAAACAGGTATAGGATGTTCCCTTCCTGTTGGTTCCCTGTGCCTCAGATTTTTCTTTGCCTTCCATCCCCAAAAAGCTTGTGAAGTCTGAAGACAGGTGGAGATTTAGCAAACTTAGAGCAAGACAGGCCCAAATAAGGACAGATATACCCAAACTTGTGTACTTGTGCTTTTTTTCCTGTGTATTTGTGTGATCAGGAGTTGATGGCTGGAAGAATTCTGAAGAAGAATGGGAGTAGATGCATGTCAAACATATTACTAGAGTCTTAGAATGATGTTTATAGAATGAATGGATTTCTTTTTCTTCTCATCATCAATTTTTATTATATAAATGCATATCTAAAAAAAAAAAAATCCAGGTGAGAGAAACTCCATTTTTTCAAGATGTCTTGTTAGTTGATGTATTTGAGTAATTTTATGAATGCTATGCTGCTCTTTGCTACAAAAATTGGACCCTTTAAATTTGTATTTACTGCTGAATGTATATTTAAACTGATGAGGAATATGTCAGATACCTCTGGTAATTGCAGTTTCATATAAGAAATAGTTAAATTGGTGCATGTCTGGTAGGTGGTAGCAGCTGAAGGATGTAATTGAAATCCATGAAGGCTGTTGTGCCCACTGCTATTTGTGTGCAGGGGAGAAAATGCAAAGGAAGAAAACTAGGATAAAAAGATAGTTGGAATAGTTTTGAAGCTAGGTAAGATAAAATAACTAAATAAGTACTATTTAAGGTGAGTGGAGATGCTGTAATTTTTAAGTAATCTGATTTATGTAATTTAAACTATAAATATTCTAGATTTATATAACTCACTTCTAATGTAATTTTTGTTTTCATTCCTCTATCTTGCATATTCTTCCATCTTCACAGAGATAATGGGAATTTTCTGTCCAATGTATATACTAGCAAAATTCAAAGGTATTAAAAGGAATTAAGAAAGGAAAGACAGATTCCAAGTACTTCTAATTCTCATACAAATATTTAAAATGTTTCCTAAGTACGAGGTTTCAAGCTAAGCTTTAATGTAGGATTGCAGATTTCAATCTGTTTAATACAATATAATATGGTATTGTGATGGCTTTAAAAACAAATGGCTTTTGGAATGGGAAATACAGTTCTTCAGGTTCTCTAAGGTTAGGTAAACTGTTTACCAAGGTTGGGTAAAACTAACTGTTCCTCAGTGCATGTTCTCACAGTCATTAAACTCCTACATTTAGTCACTCAAGGCAGTTTCCAGTGATTAGACTCTTATCTGCCTTTCTATCAGTGATCACAAAACTTCAATCTGCAAAGAGAAAAGCTATTGACAGCGATAGGAATGTGTCCTAATGTGCCCTAACAACTGACCAGCTTCTCACTGTGATGTTGGTGTATTCACTTTCATGTGTACAACATGAAAAACACTTGCAGTTCTCCTTCACAAATGTCATTATCCCATCTCCTCTAAAGCAGTTAGAGTATCATAATCAATAAAACATGCTGAGGTTCTAGTGCAAATTGTTTGTAAAAACAAATTAATGTAAGAAGTTTTAAGGTTTTGTAATATTTATGATAAACTGTTATCTGATTTTGGTAGCCATGGGATTGCACAACATCTAGCATATCCCAGGTGCTACAGCAATGTATTATTATTTGTGGAACATTAGCTCCAAATTGTTGACTTTCAAATATTAGCATGTTGTAATTCTGAAAACAAAATGCTTGAAACATTATTAGTATTCACAGCCTTGACTTCGTTTTGGTTAAGTGGGTTTATCTGAATAAATAGTATGTTGAAAGAAGAGAAACTCAAATGACTGGCTTGATCTCATGAGGAGTTCTGTCGAGGCAGAACCCAAGTGAATTCACTAGAGTTCTCTCCTGTTTTGAAGATGTGCTACATAACCCACTGCAAGATTAATTTTTCTTTGTGATTTTTAAGAAGACGTATTTTTTTTAGTGGATCTTTTAACTTTTTGTTCTAAGGAAATCATTCTAACAGTCACTAATTCTGATTCACCGAAGAGCTATAGAAAAGGGTGATTACGGAAGAGGTTGATTCAAAAATCATTGTTTTGTGTATAAGTGCAGTTAATAAAATATTGCTTTCTTATCATATGGTACTGATTCTATTGCTACTTGCCTTCTCTTTGCAATTTAAAGAAATGTCCCTTCTTAAACTCATTTTACATTTCTTGGAATTGAGTTAATTTTTAAAGTATGTGGCTATTTGCATCCCTCTAACTTCCAAATGCAACACAACACTGTGAGGAAGTCGGGTATGGAACTATACAATGACTGTATTGAAGTGCACCACTTCTGACATCTAGAGAAATAAGGGGAGGAATTATTGTTCTTCTATCTGAACTTCATCTTTTTCTGTATAGTTTTCATTTTTCTTCAGCAGTGTTGCAGGGTTGGGGGCAGGGAGTGTATGAGAAACAGCTGCCTCCTCTTTGGGGTACAGCCCCCCTTGCAGCCATGTGAAAAATGTTCAGTGGGTAGGTGTTCTTTTTGAAATCAGGTGTATGGGGTTTTAATCGGCACCATTTTCTTTTGCAAGAAGCAGTGACTGGAACCTGCTGATAAAGCTTTTGCTTTGAGGCACAGATCCCAGAGTTCTTAAAGCCGTTTCCTGCCTTAATAAGTGAAACTAATTTTTGATGTATAACATTTATAAGCCTGTGAAACTGATAGGGCAGCTTCAGTATTTAGAAAAATGAAGCCAAAAATAAACAGATGATGAGAGTAGACAGTAAAAACATCTCCTAAAAAGCAAAGAAATGCCAGAATGATGCTGTCAATATGCTGTCATCATGATACAGTGAGAAAAGGTTTTTTAAAAATCAGATTCCTTTAAAATCAGTGATGATTTAGGCAATATGCATAATCTAGCAGCTGTGAGTGGATCACTGAAATGTATATGCTAAAAGCCTAAATGATACTGCTTCAAGGTTTTGGGTCTTTTGGTTTCCATGTGGTACTTGTTGCAGGTTCTTAAAGGGAAATGTTACTGTACTGCTGTAAATGAGGCTTTGGGCAATATAGTTGTTGCTTTCTTCTGCGTTGACAGTTGTACACAAATGCTGATTTTAACCCAAAACTTCTTAATTTAGTAGCATTCAAGGTTTTAGATTGAGAACTTGGATATCTTATTCATGAGTCTGTGTATTTACTAGTGACTGCATGTGTGGATTCATATGTAGCTTTTCAGACTAACTAAAAATGTGTTACTCATTTTTTTTTTTTTTATATTGGTAGTTGCATTGTACTTATGTGATGATGATGATGATAGTCAGTCTAATCTCTTGGCAAACCTCACTGCAAAGTATTACCCCTTGTATCCTGTTGTCATCCTCCCTTGTGGACTAGAAAAGTGATTGCAGTTAGTTTGGGAGTTACCAGGGTAACAGATCTCTGACTGTAGCATCCTTGGCCATCCCCACAGCATGGTTTCTTATGGGGTGCTCTGCTTCACTAAGGGTTCTAGAGATCCTATAATTCTTGATTGCATTATTTTATATATGACTGAAATCCTTCCTGAAGGAATGTGGGCATGTCTGCATTATGTTGTACAGAGTAATTTAGGCCGTGAGTAACTGCTGCTTCAGCTAGGCTGCTTCTAGAACCCAGAACACCAAGATGCTCAAGCCCAACCAGTCTGGCTTGAGCATCTTGGTGCTGTGCTGCAGTTACAGGATACAAGGTCAGCACTCCTTTTATACATTTGTGTTGAGAGTCAGCATAACACAGATGGGTCATACTGCTTAATCTTCATTCACTCTTGGTTTTTAGACACACTGTTAGGCTGAATTATTTCTGGAATGCCTACAACATAAGTACTATTAGTATTAAATAACTAGCAATTCATTGCAGTGTGCTGGTATAATGTGCACAGTTAAGGTTTATTATTGTAATCCAGCTGCTCTCTTTGTTATAACATTCCAAGGGCTTTCAGCATTGGCAGAGTCCTTCATGTTTTGAAGTTCTACTTTTCAAATGTAGAATGGCATAACTAAAGCTATTGTTCGAACGTTGCATTTAATGCCAATTGTTTAACTTGGGACATGCTAATAGAACTCTTATTATATTAATGTAGGACTTACCCAAAAAATTCTGAACCTTTTAGAATAGAAGTTGTCGAGAGAATGAAGTTTATGTGGGCACTTAGCTGGGCTGAAGTAAAATTGTTTTCTTGGTGATGCTGTAGGGTAGAGCAGTTGAGATTTAATGGTAGCAGGTACTTGGATACGTAACTGGGAAAAGATGCTTGGAATTACATCAACTTTTCCAATGCTTTCAAAAAACCTTTTTGGAATAATATCTTGAAATGTACTTTAATTGTTCCTACTGTGTTTGTGAGAATCTGCCTAGGTCTTGGAGAATAAATGTTGATAAATTGGAGCACTGTGAGTATGTGTAGTTGGAGGTGTTTATCCCTTTGAGTGAGGATGGTATGGTGAGATACCTGGTTATTTCACTTTGCTGTAAATTGGTTTGTTTGGAGTTATACTTGTAAAAGTTCTCTTCCTAATTAAACCAAATAATTTCAAAAGATTCTGCCCCCCAGCCCTAATATATAAGCCTGAAAATATTTACCAAGCTTTTTTCCCCCTAGAGAAAGAATTTTTCATAGAGCTTTTGTACTCAAATCATTTTGTGGTGTCTCAAGAAGCAGAATGCCGATTTCTTATGGCT